CGAGTACATTCGCTGAATTATATGATCATGTATGAGATCATGCCTTTTACATAAAGTTAAACTTGAGTTGAAGACTGTTTATATGCTCTCCGTGTTGCACAATGAGAGGAGAATTTCATTTCTTATCCACGATGTATGAATTTCTGAAACATTTCCTGAAACTTACCTGGCTTACCGATGCGGCGAGGTGCTTCAAACTGTCGGCGTAATTTTTTAACACTGTGTCCGTCGTCATGCAGCTTACCCGAAACTCGTAAAACATGTCCAGTTTGTACACGCATCTCTGGCAAATATTTTTCGGCAACGCGTCCTCTTTCGTTATCTGTAATGATATTGTCAATTAGTTGGCATTATTAAACAGTTGGGATCAGAGGTTAAAATTCCTTCGACATAAAATTATTACTCGTAATCAAAACAGATTTGACTTTACTTGGATTAAGAGTTCTAAGTGATGGGTAATAATCTTAATACGAACCATCTGAACTAACTGTAAATATAAATACAAATGTAAAAAGAAATCTTAAACATAAATTTTGGCTTCGCCAAATCGACAGACAGGCCAAGTTGTAATTGTTCAAAATTCCTGCGTTCGCGAACTCGAAAGCAGAATTATTCTGGCAAATCGTTTGTAAAATAATACGACTCTTAATCAGCGAGAATACCAAGCACTTTTACCAAGCACAATTCATTCAACATTTTAATGTATAAAACATAAATTGTAAATTGGTACACTGCAGAGCGTAAATCGAAGCAACTTCAAACATCATCATAGGTTATTTCTAGTATCACACGTTCCAACAAAGACTCGTACGCTCGCGAGAGAGACAAATATTGGTTAAATATATCGATCAAAGGGTTGAATATCGACGAATTTCACGAGTCGGATACACACGACTTACCACAGCAGGAATGCAGGAACGTATTTTGAAAAGTAACTGCCTTTGTTCGCCTTCCTTGTCGAAAATCTGTAGCTGATGATTGCTCTTCAGCGAGCAGAGCCTGCACAATTCGGCGAAATTGAAATCTTCGTTCATTGCCATTCTCACGATTCACGATAAAACACACAGCTGCCGAGGAAATTGTTAGGTTATACTTGCTACGGAGCTTTGTTCCCAGGCACTTTCTCGAGCCAGCAGGGACTAATGAGAACGTGGCATAGAACCGAGACTCGCGAACGTGTCCGAGAAACGGAAAATTAGCTGAATATCTAACTGTTGTCTAAAAAAACTAGAAATTCCTAACAAAATTAAAGTAACGCCACCATTCCTCTCTTGCCTGTTTCGCTGTTGTCCAACGTGCAGAATGCCTGCCTCCACATTGCTCGACGCTAATCCATCTGCTGGGTGGTGGAAGCACTAACTAAGGGTTGCCCTCGATGGTAAAACAGATTTTGTTGAAAAATATTAATAAGTTCCAACAATTGAAATTAATTTATTGGTTCGCGATATTGCTACAAATTACAAATAACGACGAAATATTGAGGACAAAGTTCTCTAAACTTTATATATTCATATATAATAATACGATATTAAAATCATACGATTATAATAGGTCGTAAATAAAGAGCAACATGAAACAAGAGTATCGATTTTAGATCTCTAGTATGAGATATACGAATAATTAACGTAGTCGTTTCATTTGCGTGATACAACTGCGTGGATATATTATTTATTAATAACGAAATATAATAAGCGTTACAAGGTTCTAGTTTTTTTTCAGTGTGAAACTTAAATCATACGAGCGTTCTCGAAATGATTTAATTTATACGAAATATAAATAATAAAATATTATCTAAATACAGTCAGATTACTGATAATCAAAATTATTTTAACATTAATTCAAACTAATTTAATAATTATAAAATGTGTGGTTATCGCGGGTGTGCACTTCTGTGGATCGTTATTGGTATATATGTGGCTAGTTATGCCCCATTCTGGTTTTCGTTTAAAGACAATATAACCACGGTGAGATGCATTGTAAAACTTGGTCTTTATTCCAAAAAATAACTACTCCATTTCGTAATAAAGGAACAATTTCCAGAGCTTGCCGCTTTCCGAAGGTTCACCAATATACAAAGCATGGATATCACCTATAGATTTAACTTTCAAGTGTTATTTCTTCAATGTCACAAATCCTGATGAAATAATGCAAGGAAGTAATCCAAATCTTGACGAAGTTGGTCCATTTACTTACAAGTAAGTGAATGAAGGTATTTGACATTTGTGAAATGTTAATAAATGTTCGAACATTTGATAATGCTTCCTAAATCTTTTTTTCTTTTTCAACATAGCGAAATACTCGAGAAACAAATTATAAACGTAGACGATGAAATGGATGAAATCGTATATACAACAAAATCAACGTACAGTTTTAACAAGCATTTAAGTCTGAACTTGTCTAAAAGTGACAAAGTTACTATATTAAATCCTGCATACATCGGTACCATATCGATGGCAAGTATGACATAAATTGTTGCACAACGCGTTTCTTAGATATCTTTTTTTTCTTAATTATTTAATCGTTCATTTTTATTCAAATCTTCTATCGCTCTGCTATCCCATTATTCGTTTACTCGTAATTACAAAATGTGAATAATATGAATTAATTACATTTGAGTAGCTAGCTGGTTTACCTCCCGATTTTATGGAGAAATTTGGTAATAACATACCGAAACTGTTCCCGAATCATAGTAGCATTTTTCTGAAAGCTAATCCCAACGATATACTTTTCAACGGAGTTAAAGTCTCGTGCAATTCAAGGAAATTCCCTGAATTGAGTCTGGTGTGCAAAACACTGGACAACAATCAACCACCTGTGTTGAGAAAAACTGACAAGGAAAACACTTATTTGCTCAGTATCTTTCAGAGGGTAAAACTTGCCTGCAGAAACACATAACTATAACATATCTTTCAATAAATAACACATAATCTTTTCGTTTGTTAGATGAATGATACTTTTCGCGGGCCATTTTCTGTCAACAGAGGTCTGAAAAATGTAACGAGATTGGGCGACATAACATCTTACATGGGAAAAAGAGTGCAAACAATATGGAACTCTGAGAGTTGCAATACAGTAAAAGGGACTGACACCATCACTTGGCCGCCATTGATAGAACCATTGCCTTTTGTTTCAACCTTTATACCAGATTTATGCAGGTATGTACCAAGAGATTTCAGTCGTTTTTATTTCAAATTTCAAATATGCCACGTTTATCAAAATATGAAATACAGAACTGTGGAAGTAGATTATGTAGATGAAGTTTCGGTACACGGTTTAACTGGATCGCGGTTCGTCATGAAGGAAAGGGTATGGTTTTTAAACACAACGCAGTGTTATTGTTTAAAAGCGAATAACGTGCCGAAATGTCTACCACAAGGCCTAGTCGACATCTCGGAATGCCTGGTAACATTCTAATAATAATAAAAAGTGTCTTCTTCCGCACTAAGATTTGGTTATTTCACAGAAAATGCCGGTAATCATATCAGAGCCACACTTTTTGCACGGCGACCCGCAACTCCTGAAATATGCAAGTGGTTTGAGCCCTAATGAAGAGGTGCACAGCACTTACATCATTGTCGAACCATGTACTGGAACACCTCTTTCTGGACAAAAAAAGACACAACTGAATCTATACTTAGAAAGACAACCGGTAGAGTTGCTCTCAAATGTCAGCGAGGGCTATTTTCCACTAATGTGGTGCGAAAATGTAAGAAAGTATATCGGGATACATAATACATTACACGGAGTGATAAAATGAATATTTATCTATCTATATACCGAGGACTTCAATTTTATTACAATGAAACTAACTCAGAATTCAGCATGTTTTATTCCTTTCTTTGTAGTTAAAAAAAAAAAAAAAAAAAAGATCTAATCTTTTGTCGTCAAATTTTGACAAATCGAGTAGCGTTTCACAAACAAGCGTTAATTTGTACGAATACAATCTTCCATTACAGATCGTATCGAATATATATATATATATATATCAAAGTATAATCACAAATCATTTCAACAGACGAACTAATTGTCTAATAAATATTTTACAGGGTAACACGCCGTCGTTAGCTGTTATAGGATTCACCTATCAGACAATTCGTCTATTAAATGTTATACAATATTTAAATATAGTTCCTTTGATGATTGGGATTCATTTGACTTTCGTGGCTCTGCTTTACTGCAATTGCACGAAACGTAAAGTAGGACCAACATTCGCAGAATCGTTGTTAATATCATCAAATTCACAATCGAATAACATCACGCAGAGACCCTTGCATGCATAAGTAAATATGTAAAAATCATTAGACTTTCTCTAGAGCTTGATACTTTTCAATATTGCTTTCCAGATAGATGTTTAACTATTTTTTTATAGTCAGTTCATTATAAAAAGTTTGCATGACCAAAGATCTGTAATAATTTAGTAACTTGAATTCAACGATCACGAATGATTTAAAAAAAAAATGTATAACAGGTTTAACGTTATATACAGTGACACTGAATTTACAATTAACAACGTTACACACTATCTACTTCTACAAATTGATATAGTAATAGTCACATTTTTTTTTTTTTTTTGTTAAACTTGATCAGTAATACTAATTGTAAATTATTTATTCAAATTTGTACAAATAAGCAAGAAAGTTTGTCTTCTTTATTTACACGATCAAATAAATAACAGTTTATCATTCTGTTCACAATTTAAAATGCGACCATTACTGCATTAACAATAAAAACGCTATTTCTGTTTTATTGGTAAATTTGTATCAAAGCACGTTGTGACAGTTTTGCACAATTTGGAAAAAAAGAAATTGTATCGTTAACTTAATATTTACAATACATATATATAATGTGTAATTCATCCATATTTTTCTTGAAATATTCTTCTCGATTCTTTCCATTAAAAACTAATTAACTATTATGTTTCACGATTTCATAGAAATGCTTGAATTACAAAAGTTAAGTACAACGTTGAAATAAATATACACAATGTACACAAATACTCTTGAAAAATAAATACTCTACCGTAATGTGGATTACGTCGATAGTAACAACTGTGCCACGATGATTGTACAAATATTCAACAATGTCTTAAGAAGGAAAAAAAAAAATAATTTTCTTACAAAATATACACACGTCCCATTCCACCGTTCACAAAAACGAACGTATTAACGCCTTGCCTAATTCTTTTCGTTTCGATTCTCTTTCTCGTCTCGTAACGTGAATAAAGGAAAACTCTAAATAATTTCTCGATTTACACAGTTCACTCTATGATCCAAGGATCACTCGGCTCGATTAGAGACAAGACGTGAAAAAGTCTTTTCTTTCTTTTTCCATGTACGTACGTACATACGAATCAACTATTGTTCGCGATACATTTGTATTATTTCTAGGATGGAGACCCACGAGCCGAATACTAGCGCCATAACAGAAAATATCACAAGCACAGAGTTCTTCCATAGTCTCCATTTGTACCGACCCAAGTGTCCGTCCCAGCATGAAATCGTTTCTATGATCGCTGGAACTGTGACACCGAGGATAGAGAAGAATACTGAGCCGACTAGCGAAATGAAAGGTTCGAGGTTTGGGATTAGGCACGCAACAGCAACTGAAAGGAACAGAAATTAATACAATGATATTCGATACAACGAAATTTCCGCTGAAGCAGCTACAAATTTTGAACGAAAATTACGACAGAAGAATAAGAATAGTTTAAATGGTTCAATTCGAAAAATTAAATTAAATGAAATTCAACAATGTACTCAGTTTCAGATCCCAAGCAAAGAGATGATTCGAAATTATATTCAAAGATATTGTATAAGAAGTTGCGATGTGTAATTAAACAAGTAAATTAAAAGTAACTAAATTAAATTAACCAAATTAAACTAAATTAAAAGTATAAATTTCGTATAAATCAATGGACGATCGTTTTTTTTTTAAATTGTTTGACAAGTTGTCATCAAATCACATCACGTCACGTGTCAGACAGACAAAGTTGTCGAGGAGTCAGAGAAATATCAGCGATTCATAAGTATCAAACTGGGAAACTGAAAGAGTCATTGAACAGTTAACAATGAGTCATGCGGTTACAGAATATTCGCTAGCCTGATCCATCGGCTATCTTTCTAATCCAATTCACGTTTCTCTCTTGTTTCCTTGCAAAAGTAACACGGTACTTGTGATAAACCGGTAATAACCGGAAAAGCGATCGCTAATCACAGCCTGTTATCTGCGAAATACGAAAAGGTAGGTAAACAGCGTTACTCGTGGCTTTAATAAGAGCGATTTATTGCGAAAGCAAAACTTCACGCGGCAATTATCTGTGGCTTAATTGTATCAGAGATGCGATATTTAATCCGATTAATTGCGTACAGAAGCATTCCAGATTATCTTGTCAAACACGTTCTGCAAGTAAAAACAAGAAAGAAAGAAACAATACACCGCGAAAAATTATCAAGAAGTTTCCAACCTTTCAGTGAATCGTTCAGGAACTATATTGAAATCAACTCTACAAATCGGAAAAAAAAATTTATCTCAAAGAAAATTCAAGCTTTTATAAGACTTTAGACTTTTCACATTTGTATATCATGCTAGTAATACATATGTTTGAGATGTAAAATATTAGATTGGGTAAAATCACCAACTATATCGACTCTAACTGTGAGCATCGCGCAGTCTGACACAGATCGGACAGTTTCTACTTACTTGCTCGTACAACGATATTACATGTCACAGGCACAAACGCAAGTATTGAAAAAGATATTCTTGGCACGAACGAATTACAAATTTTCCAATTTGTACATGACTGATTGAATTGTCCGATTTAAAAAAAATTTGACTCAGTTGACAAGTCGAAGATCAAAGCAACTTACTTGTTAACAAAGCCATGCCTAGTCTCAATAATATTTCAGCAGTGTTTTGATACTTGTAGCTGCATCTTTCCTTCACTACTTTCAAAATGATGTCCAGCGGCACGAAGAGTTGTAAACCGTAGGTAAACAATACCGCCAAAGAGATAAACAGCTTCACTACCTGTCCTGGGCTGCAAAATAACAGGAAGTATTTCCTCTCTCTCTCTCTCTCTCTCTCGAAATTTATCTCTTTTAAATGTGACTTTTAAATGAACAAAAGATATGGTACTTACATTTCTGTCAGCGGTATGTTCAGCGTGATACTCCCCTCGACCGCTTCCCCGTACTTCAAGTAACCGAACACACCCATCACAGCGTACAAAGTCACCACTACGCTCATCGATATGTTCAGCACGCTCGGGCAACCGAGGAAGTGTTGCGGATTCTGCATGCTATTTTCTACAGGCATCACCTACGAAATGAATTACTCGCGTTTATTAGTGCATCGCCGAAATCGAAGCAGAATTTTATTCTGCACTCGAGTACTCACGACGCCGATGCCCTCGATGGCGAATAGCACAGTGGCGAAAAAACTAGGCCACTGGCCGACAGACGCTATCAGCTTCACGTCCTGCGGTATCTCAATACCGTTGAACACGTAGTACAGGATTATAACGAAGCCGATCATTATGGAGAAGTTGGCCAGAATGGAAAACGGCGCCATGTACTTCAAGCTTCGAATCTGTCCGAGCAGCAAGACCGCAGGAATCAACGTAAGTATGTACAAGCGAATCGGTATGTCCATGTCGCTGTAGTAGTCCACTATCTGGAAATCAAATCGCGAGCGATTTCGTAATTTTCAGTTTCTCGGCGAAGTTTCTTCTTTTTTTTTTTTTTTTTTTTTTTTTTTTGCGTCTCGTTCGATTCGGTTGAATCGTCCGATCTTGCTCACGGACAAGCAGGTTAAACGAGGCTCGCGGAACGAGTCTCGAGGCTACGCGCTGGCACAGATTTTCAATTGTGATCGGTAGGGGAAAAAAAAGGAGAAAGATGTGCGCTGGACGATAAACGAGGACGAAGGCGAAACGAGACGATCGCGGATTAGACTGGTTCTGCGATCTACAATTTTGACGTTAAGGAGAATACCGATCTACAATGTACTTTAATGCCAACGTTCAAATCGCTTCAGAAACGTAAACGTGAAATCTCTCACAGTTTAATTCACGGTCGTTTCAAGTAGAGATTGTTTTCTTCTTTCTCTTCTTTTCTTTTTTCATTAACTCGTCAAAGCTGAGTGGTAAGACAAAGAACTGATCGCACCGATTATGGCAATTTATCGGGTTTATCTAAATAGATAAAATTGTTCACACTTGGCCGCGAATATTTTCACTCATCGCTCAAAATTATGGATCACGAGTATTATCTTTTATCTACTTTATCAATGTTCGAATCATCGACGTTTCTCAAGTATCGACACACTTTCGATACTCCAATTAACTGTTTCATTTTTGATATATCGATTCGTTAAGATATTGCTCGACGCTCAAGTCGTTCGTGTGTGTATCTGTTGAAAATTCTTCGCAAGATCAACAAAAGGACGTTTACGTACTTTGATTTTTATTAATCAACATCGATTGATACTTTCAGTGTCGCGTCTTTCAATTTGGGGAGACGAACAACTTACTGTTTTATTTGCTCAAATAGGAACCAATTTTCAAAATTCACTTGTTCGTAAACATATTGAATTTACAAAAATGAAGTCTTACTTTGTAGATCAATAATGAAATATAAATACGAAAATTACAAATACAAATATTTGACACTTAGAAAGTAATAAATGAAATATGTACATCTATTTATCTACAACTTAAGATTTCATTATTTATTTATTTCATTATATGTACATTTTTTATTTAGAAATTAAGTTTACAAACAAGTACAGAAATCGTCCCTATTTAAGTTTAAATGAAAGGATCGTTTGATCATCCGATATTTGATCTCAAGATGACAGACGGTAAGCTCCTAGAATTGGCATGCAAAATGCTACGGAGAATATTTGTTAAACAACTAAACATCATTTCAAACACGGAAAACTACAAGTACAGTCACATTTGATCAAATATGTTATTGATATCTTTAGAGATATCTGATCTGAAAATGAGAGACGGTAAGTTGTGAGTCTCCCAGTAAATTGGTCCAACGAGCACTCATATTTGAACAAATATTTCTGGATCTTTAGAGAAGTTTGAACAGAATAGAATTGAATAGAATAGAAGTTTGAACAGCAAAGTACTGCGGATGATAATTGTTAGAATTGGACTATTATTGGAGGGCTCACCTGTTTAAGCGAGGTCGCTACGAATACCACGTAGACGCAGGCGCCACCCCCGTGAGTTGCGGCCAGTGCAGCATTTACAAACCTTCGACTGGCGTTGCCGAAGGGCCTCAACGTTTTCGGGCCGTTAAGAAACGCAGCCTCCGCCGTCTCGGCGTACGTCATCTGCGGCGTTTTCGTTTTCTTACATAGCACGTGCGACGAACGAACCAGTATGTGAACGCAATGCGCGCATACTAAACCAATTATTATCGTACCGATTCCACCGAACAGCACCCCGCCGTTCTTAATCGCGTTCGGCATGGCAAGGATCCCGGTACCGAGCGACGATTTCAGCAAGTTGGCTAGAGCACCGAAATCTCTGCAACGTGGACACAATCTTTTCGTTTATCACACCAACGACTGTTACTTTTTTTTTTTTTTTTTTTGTAACAATCTGTTTCTGATTTTTATTCAAATTCAATTTGTTTATGTATTCGTACGGTCAAGTTGAAATTTGAAAAATCTGGTAAAGTCCAGACGTGCTCACTCTTGGCCACTGAGGTTACTTATTACTTGTCGCGATCTAAAAGGAAGATAGCTTACGAGTTGCTGTTCTTCTTGTCACGGTGCTCGAAGGGATTGTACAGTTCGTTCTTCTCGTTGAATTCTCCAATTGCGACGCTAGCTATTTTCGTACTGGCGACATGAAAAAAAAAAGAAGAAGATACGTCATTGCATTGCATTTACTATGTTCTTGCTTCAATTTGTTTATTTATTTCATCAGTATCAACGTTCGTTTTCAATAATTCATAGATCGATATCGTTTTCCTTTTTAATATATATTTACAAACAACTATATCGCCTTAATTGAAATTGAATCAATTAATTTAACGATAATGCACGATTCAATTCTTCTTCGATCGTGTGCATCAAAACAACATGTCATATCATGCTGCATTGCCACGAATGGCGTGTAATCAAAGAATTTGTCGACTCTGTGTTTGTTGATCTTCCATGTGCACCGAGATAAATTCAATTCGATATCGTACGTTCAAACAACGTTAATGAAATTGCAAATAAAATGTAAATTTAGTAATCTGTACCTGCTGTTGAACTCCTGCATAGGATTTCCAGCGTATTCCTCTTTCGTATTTTTCTCCATGATTTATCTAAAACAGTGTATACACATCGTCTTACAATTCTTAAACGAATGTATAATGTTAATTTAAATGTTTAATTTTTAAAGTATCATCGACACGTGATATACGGATAAAAATCTACAAATTTTTCTACGTTCGATCAAATATATTGCAATTAAATAGCGCGCGAAATTGTCAAGACAGCTTCGTGGAATTGCAGTTAATACAATTACAGTTAATTATCGATCATATTCAATGCAGCAATTTTTCGCGAACAGAACTTCTTAAGGCGAGATATCTAACCACTTTCACGTGACATCGCGAATAGCAGATGACAATTTTGAGCGACAGTGTCACACTTGATTATCATCGATAACAACCCGGTGTTTGGCAACAACTTCATTTTTTTTTTTCTGAGATCGCTCTCACGTCTTATGTAAGGTTCACGTGCCAATGGTAACGATCGCCGAAGGTCTTTCACCGGTTTTATCGGTAAAAATTTTCCACGCGGATACGAGATGCTATATTTTGTCACTTGTCGTCTGGATTGCTTCCGTCGTTTACGAATTTCCGCCTACAAGTCTTCCCGATTCGATCGATTTACCTTGGTTATCGAGTCGTTATTATACTCGAGGAGCATAAAACGGAAGGCACAGTGAATTACGTATTTCCGTTGGAGAGCAATTTGACACTGAGATTGAAATACCTGCGAGAATACGAAAAGTAAACCGAATAGAAAGAAATTTCGCGGTATATTCTGAAATAATCTGAAAATAATTTCAAAACGTTCTGAAAAATTACTATATCTGTACAACTAAGTTGCCATTTGCAAAATGTATAATACCAAGCGAACCACGAACAATGCGAAGAGAACAGCTTGCTTTTTCTTTATTAGTATTGTATTATTTTATCGTTACTAAAATGTGCGAATACGTGACGAACATCTGCCCGTGTGAAGAAGATAAATCATGTTACGTACGTTGCGTAACATTCGATATATGCAAGGTTCGACTCAATCGCTCGATAAAGAAAAGAAGAAAAAAAATAGAGTTCGTTTCGGAGAATTCAGTGAAAAGAATTGTATCTGTTTTGCGTAAGGTTGAGAATTAAATTATTATTCTCGAAAGGAGCAAGAAACATTTAAAACGATTGTGGTTGAGAAATCGAGACAAAAGCAGTAAAAAGACAGTAGTTGTTTCATTTTCATTTGTTTCTCTTTTTCCTTAATGTCACGATAATT